TGATTTGAACACTTGCCGTACGTCTCTCTCTTCTGAAATCCGCCTCGGTGATCATGGGCTGGTCCAGAATCTATTTTCTTTCAAAAGTGTTGCGCCAGGTTTACGTTGTCGGCGTTTCTCTTTAAACCTAGTCGTTTTTTTATGGACAAGGACAGTTGAATGAATCTAAGGTTAAGTGATGGAGCACCTTCGGTTCGATTAAAAACGTGTGAATACATACACTATGGCTATACGTTTCACTGCAACTGCCCACAACACAACATCTAAAACTCGAAAAAATAAAAAAAAAAGAAAAGAAAAAACGCCGACTGAAAAATGTATATCGTTTAATATACTGAACGACCAGTGTTATTACGGCTCAGGGGTATGACTTCCTCTCACATTTTGTCATTTGGTGGCGCACTTTCGGCGAGAGTCGGAAATCCGGAAACAGTCGACCGTTTCACGATAAGTGGGCGTGGCTACAACACAAGAAATATCCCAAATTTACTTGGACACGAGTAATCATTTTCAGCAAAAAAATCAATAACTACCCTTTTCAGTGGGACACAGATCTAAAATGGGAAACGTAAGGGTGGGCATTGCACAGGCACTTTAAGCGAATCCAATTATCCCGAAATAGTTCCAATTGTGTTTTTGGCAGCATTATGTGAATTATACACCAATTGTACAGTGTCTTAGACAAACACGGCAGGTAAACCAAAGGTGTAATTTGCAGTGAATATAATGACATTGTACGAGCCTAACACCGGTGTTGAATGTCACGGAGTTGAACACTGAGAGAAAATAAACAGAGATATTGACCTCACCAAACAGTCAGTAATTTTATTCCATCACAGTAATACTATTAGGCGGTCAAGTGAAGTTGGTAACGTTATAGAAGCAATATTGACTGGTTTGTACATTTATTCTACTATGTGTTATGAAGTATAATGTTTGAAAGACAGGACCCAGTTACCATAAGCAGTGTAATAAACGCTTTCAAGTCAGCAACTGAGAAATGTATTACATTTTCATAGGGAGGGGAAACAAAAAATGATGATCTGTTTGATAGCGTTTCCCATGCAAGTAGAAACTCGCGATGCTTTAGCAGGAGCAGTATAAGTTCTGTTAGTAGCCACACAAGCATGCTTAGAATACAATATGAACAGAAAAGTATGGAAATGGAAACACATGCTTCAGCACTCAAAGAAAATATCACATTGAACGAGAAAAACACCACATTGAACAAGAAAGGAAGCGCATTCAACATGAAAAACATTTTTGATGGTGAGTTAGAAAAATCCAAGCTACAACTTGAACATATAGTTGAAGAATGGAAAATATAGACAGAGTTAAATTTGAGTGAAGCCAAAACTTAGGTACTTGATAAATATGATGCGCGAAGGGATTCAAAGGTAGTCTTTTGCCCAAGTACGGCCCCCCTGTTTCTAACATTGAAGAAGAGGTTCTTCATGGCAACACATGATGAATGCACTTTCCATTAAATACCAGTACTGTATCAATTTCAAATTAGAGCAACAGATCAAAGGTCAAGAAATGTCATCTTACATCGGTGTTAACTACTGCGCAACAGAAATCCACATTAAAAAATATTAACCATGGTAACATGCCACACACATTTTCAACTAATATAGTAAGTAGCAGGTATATTGGCCAACCAGCAGGAAGACCTCCCTAGAAGAGCATGTATTCATACTGATAAATTACTTCGTAACATTAGTTGAAAGAAAGAATTAATGGCAGTTGATAGACTGTACTACTTGAGTACGTACACAGCAGGTGAAGCAAAGAATGTCATTAAGGCGTTGTTAACATTAGACAATGGTGAAGCTTACATGAAGGCAAAAAACATTCTGGCTGAGCGATATGGTAACAAATTTACGGTAGCTGAAGCCCTGAGGAAAAAATAGATGAAAGGTAGTGATGGTAAAGAGTTGCAGAGATTTTCTGACTTTCTTCTGACTTGTGAGGCTCTTACAAGACAAATTATTGACCAAACTGCGAAAGTACATCAACGATAGATGGCAGCGTTATGTAGATGGATTCTTACATGGCACCATTAGCAGCTGTCCAAGAAAGCAAGGATCACATGCAGTCCAACCAACACAAGGACAGATGGCAAGAAGAGAGATAAACCATGAACTGGTAAATACAGACGATATAACAATTAACAAAGTCTTGCTACTGATATAGAAGAAGTAGAGGATCCTTCTGCTAAAAATGTTAACCCAGCAATCAACACAATACGATGTTGTATTATATTTGCAAGGGACAAGATGATCTGGAATACTGCAAGGACTTTCTAAAACTGAAGCTGAAGGAGAGAAAAGTATAGTAATGTCTAAGGGATTGTGTCTATCACACCCAAGGGACATGTACGACGAGATTGCCGTAATACGTAGATGTGTGGCACTTGTAAAGGGCTATACCCAACAACTCTAACACAACATTGTCTCTATTGGTAAAGAGCCTAAGCCACTGAGGGCTATATCACATCGAATAAATATTCACAGCACAAATTACAAAGATACACTGGAACGACAAATACTTACATATGCTCTACTTGACCCACAATCAGATTCATGTTTCACATTTGATTCTGCTATGAGTAATATAAATTTGGAAGAACCCATAATTTTTCTTAGGTTAGCAACAATGTTGGCTGAGAAAGCGATCATTTTGTAGTAAAATTGATAATCTGGTTGTTAGAGATTTGAATGGTATGACAGACATTGCATTACTAGTGTCTACACTAGAGTTATAATACCAGTCTGTCACAATCAGATTCCAAGCAATGACCGCACCTACAGGAGGTGGCAGAGAAGTTACATCCATATATGTCTGATGTTAACATCAGTCTCTTAGTGAGTCTCAATTGTACACGAGAAATGAAACCCAGAATAGTCATTGCAGGAAACGATGACGACCCATATGCAGTAAAAACAGATCTTAGATGCGACGTTATTGGCATGATGCAAAATCCAGAAAATAACAGTGACAACCATAATTGCTGATTTGTATGCACAGAGGAAAAAGTGTCTCCCTTCACAAGACTCAAGAAAAGGTGATGTGCCCACCCACCAAGTATTGAAGATGTTTTAGCATGACTTTAGCAAGAGACAATCAAACCAGAAGGTGTTTGTTTTAGACAAGATGTTTCTTACAAATGTTAGTCATGGACACTATGAAATTCACTACGTTCAATTACCCACCATAGACTCTGGTCAGTTTTTTTTAACTGTAGGCATTAATCTGCGATTCAGCCATTGACGGAGAGAAAAATCTAGGTCAGGGGGAGATTTGACCTCAAGATTTTCCTTCACGTCACGAACTGCGTGACTGAGGCAATGAAGCGGCGCCATATTGCCTCTACAATCACTCTTGTTCTTTCTCCGCCCAAGTGGTGGGTCGAACCCGATTTTTTCTTGTCCGGGTTTTTGGTCTGGCTAGCTGTCACCTGCGTGGCAGCCGATGCTATGTCTGGTAGGATATGTTTTTCTTGTTTTTTACTTCTGTGACGT